AACCTCCAACTACACAGACTTTTAAGTATTTGTGTCACTGACGTGTTTTTCTTTAAAAGAGTAATTCCTTCAGTTTCTCTAAACCAGGAATTATTAGGTCTTAATACTCATGTTGCAGGCGTGTACAACCTGTGGCCAAGGATAGCTGTGAATTCACATGTTTTAGGTGTGTACAACCCATGGCTGAGGACAGCTGTAACTTCATATGTTGTAGGCGTGTACAACCTGTGGCTGAGGATAGCTGTGAATTCACATGTTGCAGGCATGTACAACCTGCGGCCAAGGACAGTTGTGAATTCAGCCTAACACAAAATCATTAACTTACTTTAAAAACATAATTTTTTTTTCAGGTTTTCAAAAAAGTCATGTCACAACATCAAGAGGTTGGACATGCCTGCAGGATTAATCAAGATTAAAATGAAGAGAGTTAAACTGGCACATCCTTCTCAAGTCACAAACCACATGGAAATCTTTTAGCTCTCTGTTTTAAAGTATACTTGATTTCCGCATGGGTTAAGTTTTCTTCAGTACTGGGGCTCGATCCCAGGGCTTTGTAGGCTCAGTAGGCACTCAACACAACTACAGCTTGAGCCCAAGTTGATACATTAAAAAAAAAAGTTCTTAGCTCTATCACACTCCCAATATCATCTTCCACGTTCCTAATTTGATGTCATATAAAGTCTGGATCTGAGTAGGGCTCCTCATTAGCTGCTTCAGCCATAAAATACTGCTACTATAAGCCAGGTGTAGCTGTTTATGCCCATAATCTTCAAACTGAGAAACTGAGGCAAGGACAGTACACAGAGTTCAAGCACAGCCTACACTACAGAATGAAACCCTGCATTTTTAGGCAAATATTGCCTTGGGGGCAATTTTTGCTTCTCCTTCTCCTTCTCCTCCTTCTCCTTCTTCTTCTTTTGTTTCAGAAGGAATGGTCATGTTTCCTTCAGGATGTTCGCATTCTGAATCTGGCTAATTACACAAAGTGAGGGAAGACCTTTTAAAAAAAAAAAAACAAGCCAGAAGAGCCCAGAATTTCAGTACTAAAATAGAAAGGCTACCCTAATTCCAGATCTTTGGTAAAGATACTAACTATAATTGATTGCCCACACCACCAAAACATGGCACAATTTGTAGTGACAGGTGACTGTGATTTTCCTTTTGAACATGTAAACAAGGGGAGAAAGCCTTAGGGAATTTTGGGAAATGCATTAATTTCAGTTCTCTTAAATAAACAGATTCACAGTCACTTCACGGGTGGAAGGAAGAGCGTGGGCTGAGGTTACTGCTTGTATTCCCCTCTCCTTGTCCTTTTCTTTCCTGTCTCCTTGCGCCCCTGCTTGATAGTTTGTCCTCCCTCTGCAGCTGAAGCGAGTCTTGCTCCAATTTCCAAGCACTGGGAACGTCTTCCACATTGGTGCTTCTGAGCAGAGATTTGTCAGAACCGGTGTTTGCTGTCGAAGTACCAGATCATCTTTCTCATTCATTTCATCTGTTACATCGGCATACTGGGCCAGCAGGGCGGCTAATCTCTGCCCCTCCTCTTCGGAAACCATCCTGGGCTTCACCATGATTTGTGCCTGCTTCTCAATCAAAGTGGCAATGGCCTGAACCTCACCTTCTTTTTTTTTACTTTGGTGGTGACATTTTGCATTTCTGACCATCGCTTTACAATTTCCTTACAGATATCAAGGAGGGAATCTTCTTCCAGGAAAGTAGAGAGGATCCCTTGCATGGCATCCAGCTTCTCGTCCTCTTCGTCCTGTAGGACACCGAGGATGTGAGCGCCTCAAACGGCTGGTCTGGTCCACTCCCAAAGCCTCCAACTGTTGGTCCAGCCAGGATCCAAGCCCCCACCATCGCCTTCACTGAGTACTTCCCTGGACACTTTGCTGGGCACTGCCATGCTGGGGACTGTGCAACTTTTTATAATGGTCAAAACAAAGAAATTTCTGTCAGTGGATGAAAAATGGTGTGTGGAATACTATTCATTCTCATAAAAGGAGATTCTGTGTCTTGCACTAACATGAATGAAAGGGAGGATACTATGTTAAGTGAAACAATCCAGGCACTGAATGATGCTTTGAGATATGCTTCTATGTGGGATCTAAAATGATTGGATTCATAAAGATAGACCATATGATGGTGTTAAAAGGGTTTTGGGAAAGGGGAAAAGGCTGGTCAAAGAACACAATTATCAGGAGGAATAAGTTCAAGAGATCTAAACAATGAGAGGTAATTCATATGCTAATCATCTTAATTTAGCAATTCCTAAATGCATGCATTTTGCTAACCACCTTATTTTGTTAAATACATTTAACTTTATTATATTGTTATATCTCATAATATTGTCTTGGATTTTATTTTATTTTTATTTATTTTATGTGTCTTGGATTTTATTCTTGACGTTGCCTTTCGGGTAAAGCTCCGAAACTTTGGGTGATTTTAATTTTTTAAAAAATACATATGGGGTGCTGGGCGCACTTGGGAGGCATAGGCAGAGGCAGGTGGATCTCTGTGAGTTTGAGGCCAGCCTGGTCTATAAGAGCTAGTTCCAGGACATCTAGGGTCGTTACAGAGAGAAAACCCTGTCTTGGAAAAACAAAACGACCAACAAACAAACAAAATGTGTATGGGTGTTTTGCTTGCCCCTTGTGCATTCAATGCCTGTGGAGTCAAGAATAGGGCATTAGATCCTCTGGAAGTGGAGTTACAGACGCTTGTCAGCCAACACATAGGTTGAATTGAACCTGGATCCTCTGGAAGAACAGCCAGTGCTCTTAGCAATCAAATCACATCTGCAGTCCCGAGGCTATTTTTCAAAATGGATACAAACCTCAGTTTTGAACTTACAGACAGGTGATAACGTTTTCTTTGTTTACCATCTACGATGTAATATAGTATATGAGCTGAAGACATTCCATATTATGTGGCTTTGAGTGGAAATTTGTAACTTTCTGACAAAATTTCAGTGGTCCAGAGATCTGCAGCATGTGGCATTAGAAGGTGAGGTTGGAAGAACGGGGAGACCAGCTGGTGCTAGCATCGGTAAAGAAGATGCCGCGCTGTAGTCAAGAGTTCCATGCGAACTGTCTCTGTGGATCTTTCCAGCACACGCTCCCACCTCAGTTCTCAGTTCTTCATCTGGTTTGAAGCAAAGGAAGAGGCTCTGTTGAAATTGAAGAACTCTTGACCGTGGTCCACGTGGTGAGCATGCCGACGGGGATTCTGAACATGAGTTGGTAGTTGAAAACTTCTGGTCCACAGACTACAAGCCTGTGAGGTCTGACCTGATTGCTTTCTTGCTTTCTCCTCTCTCTCTCTCTGTATCACATTCCATGGGAAGTTAGGAGGGAAATGAGATGTGCTACTGCGCTGCCGCAGGCAGGAGACTCACTAAGCACGAAGTGAGGCACATCCAGGAGATGATTCTTTTCTTCTGTGCCTTCAAGGAACATTGTGGGTTGAAACAAGATGAAGCTAAATGACTGAACTGAAAGTTAGGAGGCCCGTCTTTCTTTGGCTTTGTAGCCATCGAGGAAATGTGACACAGAAAGCCTGAAGACTAGGTCCCCCTATCACAGCACTTCACAGTTTATGAGGTGCTTACAGTTTATGTGGGCTAGAAATGGTTATTGCCACTTTTATTCATACGAGGACCCTGGAGCCCTGAGACGTGAGGTGACCTGCCCTTCGAGAAATGGTCGGTAAACAGGGTCAGAATTTGAACCTGACTCTACTTGTCGCTGGATTTCTTTCTCATAACAGTTACACAGTGGTGCCTGCTATAATGAAGTTTGAAATACTGACCCTATGTGGCATTCTCACTGAGGCTGATCTCAGGATGCTGGGTTGTGGCTTGGCTGCCAGGGTTTTCAAAGCTTCCTGGGCGATTCCAAGCAAGCTGAACACTATGGCTGCCTGCTCTCCCCTCCACAGAGGCTGGGGCTCAGCGCCTGCTGACCCATCACTTCCACAGGAGATGTGACAAGAACCCCTGTGGATCATGGTAGACACCAGGTTCCGCTCTGAGGGTGGAGAGTCTGCATTTGGGACCTGCTCTCAGGGGATGCTGTGACTCTGGGGACCACCAGGCAAGGGAGATAATCTGAGCACTGCACCTCCCTCACACTGACCACCGGCAGTCATTTCATGTCACCTGACTCAGTTTCCAGAATGGCATGCATTTTGCAAGAAGGCATCTTAGTAAAACCCGCATGGCCCCTTCCAGCTTGCACGAGACTCCAGTGCCCCACAAGCTGGATAGCTTTCTCCTGCCACTGGATTTGCTCCCATGGGTCCTGGACCTGGCCGCTTCTGCTTCCAGGATCTAGCATCTCCAGGTGCCTCATCGGCCAATGCCAGCCTCCTCCTGGGGTCCTAGAAGGCTTGAGGGAGGCTGGGCTGTGAAGATTAGAAAGCTTGCTGTTTGCAATCAGGATATGTGAGCTCTGACCTTGTAATCGCCTGGACTTTTGACCTTGAACAAGCTTTCTGACCTCTCTGAGCCTTACTGCCCTTGCATCCAAGGGTATGAAAGTTGCCATCTCATGGGTTGATGGCGTGACACAGGGAGGTGGAAGAGATGAAGTGCCCACACCAGAGACTGCTGTGCTCATCAACCAATAATTGTATTGGTTGATGAGCACAACTGGAAACTGGAAAAAAGTTCTCTCTCTTTTTGAGACAGGGTCTCACCGTGTAGCCCTAGTTAGCCTTGGCTAGCTGTGTACACTGTCCCTCAGGATGGCTTTTTTTTTAAACTTTCTTTGATTCTTTGTGGATCTCACATCATTCATTCTGATCCCAGTTATATCCATGTCTCCTTGAATTCCCCCTCTGCCCTTGTAACCCCCTCCCAAATCAAAACCAAATGTAAAAGAAAAACAAACAAAAAACAACAGAAAAATCAGAATTTTATTGAATAAGCTATAGTGTGGCTCATTGCATCACACAGTTTACCCTTTAGTTCATTCATCTTTACTTGCAAGTGTTCGTTGTCTCAAATCACTGGTCTGGCTTGAAGCCTCTGGTTTCTGCTATGCCACAGATAATGGACTCTCAATGGGGTTCCTCTTAGATATCCTGTTGTCCTGTGTGGGCTCTCACTGGGGATCCTCGTGGATAACCTGTTGTCCTGTGTCATGGAGATCCTGCTGTTTGGGATCTGTAGGTTTATCCACTTCACATGCTCCAACAGTTCATAGATTCAGTGGATGCTGGGGTTGGTCAACTCATAGCCCTGGTCCTGGGCCTGGGTGGTATCTGGGTTGATCAGCTTGCTAGCCTTCCCTCATGGTTGTTACCCAGATGAGCTCTCCAGCACTGCCTAGGCTAGCTCACCCAATGCAGCCTACAGCAGGGAGTGGGGCCAGCTCTCCTGCTCTGGGGCTCTCAGAGCCATGCCCCACTCACTTACATCGACCAGGCTGCCTTCTAACTTACAGAGATTGGCCTTCCTTTGCCTTCTCAGTGCTGGGATGAAAGGCATGCACCATCACAGTGTGGAAATAAACTCTCCCTGAATATCCGACATCCCACCTACACTAGATGACTTAGCACTGAGCCTTGGAACAACTTTGCAAGGTTCACATCGGTTTTCTCTATCGTATAAGCGAGACAACCGGAGTTAGAGAGTACAACAACTCATTTTCAGGTGCACGTCTAGTAAGCTTCAGGGCCAGAACTTGCTTGCTTCTGACTTGTCTGACGGTGAGACTTTTTGGAGATCTGTTGGACAGAGTTGTGAGTGTCTGGTAGACCGCAGAGCACAGGAAGCAGCCGTCAGCTTGGCTGTCTGTGAGGAGAGAGAGCAGCACCCAGTGGGCTGGGCAGCAGGCTTCCTGCTCCCTCTTTGTCTCCAGAGGACAAGCCGGTGGGTAGGAGCAGTGGCGGGCTAAGAGGAAAGTGACTTCAATAGCCACACAGTAATACACCGTCTGCTTGCCTGCGACCCACGGGGTCCACAGGAACAGTGGCCTTCTGCCCATTCTTAGGAGCAGAGCGTCATTTTTGTGTGTGTGAGGACAGGCAGATGGCGGCAGGTGTGATGAAGTGGGTGGGGGAAGGAATGACATCTCCCTCTGGCAGGGACCTGGGTGGGACTGGCACCTGGAGGGCTCTCAGCCGCTTTCTGTGGAAAGGAGCCCTAGGGGTGGGTGGCCTCCTCCCCAGCTGCCTCTCCTATCAGGCACCCATGCATGTGCCTCTCAAGCCTCTGCCTTTGCATGCGAGGTGGAACCAGGCTGTTGATGAGAAATGGCAATCATGGCTCCCCGCAGCAGCCTGACTGCGGGGAGCATGCTGATGAGTAAGAGGAGGTGGATCGGGAGACTCCAGGAGGCTGGCACCTCACAGCCCTGAGCAGTATGACCGTGGTGACAGCAGTGGGGTTTGTTTGGTCCTTTCTAGAGCACTGCCACCCAACCAGGCCTCGCCCGTGGGCTGAAGCGGTCCTACAGGGAGATGGAGTCTGTGCAGAGACTTCATGCGCACTGTCACAGGGTGTGACTGGTGGCTTGACTTGATGTCCTCGCCCACCAGGTAAGTGCAGTGTGATGGCCACAGTGTCCCTCCAGTGAACCACAGTCATGCCCTGCGGAGAGTCAGGACCGTGACTGATACTTAGCTTGCCCTGCCCCATCTTAGCTCTTGGCACAGGCACAAGACGAATGTAGTTCGTAGATGATGGGAGGGAGGGAGGGAGGGAGCTTCGCCGTGCAGGTGCTGGCTTGATTTTGCTCGGTGGGAAAACACTTGGTTTTATTTTCCACCGGCTCCAAAGTTGATCTGTTTACTTGGGAAATCTGCATATTTTACGCAAGTAGGGGGGAAACAAACCCTGTGATATGTGCTTTATTATATAGCTGGATCCACTTTCTTTCCTTTTTAAGTCAGGGTCTTAGATAGTCCTGACTGGCTTTGAACTTTTGATCCTCCTAGTTCACCTCCTGAATGTTGAGATTCCAGGTATATGCCACCACCACACTCTAAGCAATGCTGGAAACGGAACCCAGGGTTTTACTATGCTCAGACTAGAAAGGAGGTTTTCAGAACAAGGATCCCCTCCCTTCCTATGTAATTGCTAAATCAAGGTCCTTCTCGCTAGGTAAAATTTTATGTTAAGTTTTCTTGTGTATTTCATGAGTGGATACTATGTAAACATCCCCCTTCTCCCTGGGTTTTGCATGATGAGTTTAGGACTTGTTAATGATTCTGCCTGGATCAATTATTACCGTGCAGTTGGATTCACTTTTAAAGACAACACAATTACCAACCAAAAACAAACGAACTTTCTAGGGCTTATTTACTGGCAAGAGCACAGACACTTGTGCCTCCCAAACGCTGTTTGCTTGGTTCTCTTCGTAGCTTTGGTTCTGTTTAGTGCAGCTTAGTCAGTTGTTAAGTACACAGTGTGGACTGTCACATGTACACGGCTGTGTTTACAGTTAGGGCGACAGTATCTCAGCGGATGCCGGATCATTCTATCTGATTCATTCTCGTCTTCCAGAGTCAACGGTCCCCTTGTGGCTCAACACCGCCTCCTAAATTTGGTCTGAACTTAAGCTCTGTCTCCTTCTATTCAGAGCAAGGATATGTGGTGTTACTCTTTGCACCCCAGTGACTCTAATTTCCACTCAGCCTTTCTTTGCGAGTGACTCAGCATTTTATGGCCTGACATTTTAAGAGAACCACTTTGCTATTAAACTGAAGCCATATATTAAAGTGAAACCCTGAAGCAAGCATGGGTCCAACAGAGGTTAGACAAAGATAAGACAATTTGTCACACCTCCTAGCCCATGGTGCAGGGCAGAGATGAAATGAGGCTTTGGAACCAGAGTGCATTGGGACCTCTCACCTCAATGTCTTCTTTCCTTCCTTCCTTCTTGTTTTTGTTTCTTGGGGGTGGGGTGGGGTGGGGGACAAGGTCTCACTGTGTAGCCCAGGTTGACCTGGAACTTCTTATGCAGCCCAGGCTAGCCTTGCACACGAAGCATTTCTCTCGTCTCAGCCTCTCTCTGTTTTCCAATTCTACTGTGAAGAAGCATTCAGATTCAGCAAGACCCTCGCTGGTTGCATTTACAGACTAGAACATTCTGTGCTCAGATTTGGGGCCCTGGGACAGAATATTTAAGGCAGGCTTAAAAGTTGGACTTCCAAATTGGGAAAGTTGTAAATTTGAAGTGAGTTGTTATTGATTTTTGTCTCATACTGAGGAAGGATGGATGAGCTAGGGAAGAAAGTCTTCCTGTCTGAGCATCTAGCAGCAGCCTGTCAATCGAGCCGCCGTCCTTCCTCCATCATTTATTTCTAGCTCACAGAAGTGCTGAAGCTTTCTCTGCCCCAGAATGCTGGTCAGGAAAACAGCAGCAGCTATTTTAGCAGAAGCCTTTTCTGTCTGTGTCTACCTACACAAAAAGAGTGACCCAGGGCACTTTCTTTCTCCGGCCTTGCTGCGTCTTGTTCTTTCAGAGAATGGAAGGGGAGGCAGAGGTAACCAGGCAGGAGAGAGCCAGAGCTGCAGAGTCGGGGTGGGGGAAGAAAGCTGATGTAGCTGCTTCCTTCTCTGTCCCTTTCCAGATTGCCTCCTCAATTCTATTATTTTGGGAACCCCAATTACCCTAAGGAGGCCCCAGCTCCCTGTAGATTCTGCTTACTTCTCCCAGTCTATCACAAACTTGTTTGCTCTTTATCCAACAGTCTTAATTAAAGTCGACATCACCCACAACCCTTGGACCATTTCTCTCTTCCCAGGCTTGCATAATATTGCATGCAGAGCTAAAGTTAACACTATTCTTCATCTATCCATTCATCCTCTATCAATTCTCCATTCATCCTCTATCAATTCTCCATCCATCCATCCTCCATTCAACATCCATCCATCGATCCATCGATCCATCCATCTATCCAAACATCCTCCATCTATTTTCTAGTCATCATCTATCTATCCACAGGAGATCGTGTTGATTGATCCCTGGTGGCAGGGCAGCTCCATCCATAGGAAACAAATCCTTATTTGCCACTCTGAAGAAGTGCCAAGTGCAGTGATTTCCCAACTATGGCAAGAGCATCCAGGAGGGAAAAGACTAAGTAAGGAAAGCACAGTGGTGTTTACTGAGCGTCGGGGAGGTGTAGTGTGGATTGCCATCTGGAGGGAGAGTGTGTGGGAGAGGGACAGGCTGGGGAGGGACAGAAGAGGGAAAATTTGAGCTATTCCCTGAAGCCTAGTAGTGATGTCACCAGATTTGAAGTTTAGAATTCTTTCTCCCACTGCTTCTGTCTCTCTGTCTCTGTCTCTGTCTCTCTGTCTCTGTCTCTGTCTCTCCCCTAGCAAGAACAATTTACTGTGTAATTTACTTCAGGTTGGGGCTGGGATTGGTGCTTGATAGTGTGCCTTAAGGCAGGACGTGTCACATGGGACAATATAGCCCAGAGGCACATAGGACAAGATACCCCTCCCGTTTCACCTCGGTAGTTAGTCCCAGACAAGTGAAGGACAGAGTAGGAGAGATCAAATCCTAGGACACGCTAATCCTGAAAGTCCCAAAGGGTAAAGTGCTAATGTTGTATCCTTATGCTTGAAAACCCCCCAAAAAATGAACTTTAGAAGACAGTTGCCCAGAATTCTTAGCAGAAGAGGCGAGAGTAGACCTCCGGCTTTCTGTTGCCGCCCCCAGTCTCTGCCTGATTAGAGCCAGTTTCAAGGGTACAGAGCTCCCTCTGTGAACCATGAAGATAGTGACTCCCCCTAGTTCTCAAATGACCCCAAAGGCAGAGAGACTGTAAGCCACTCAGTCTTCAGAAGTCCAGAGCTGAGTAATGAGAGGAGAGGAAAATGTACCCGGCCGTGACATCCGATGGGATTTATTCTCATCATCTCAGGCTCCCTATTGTGGGGCACCCTCATTCAGCACCTGCACATCCAGCTATATTTTAGGATACAACTCTGAGGGCTTCAGGCTCTCAGAAATAATGGCGCCACTCTGTTACCGCATAGATGTGCCCTTTCCAAAGGTGCGAAACAGGAAGGTGACCTGCCGATTCAGAGGAAGGCAATAAAGCACACATTCAATTAGGATGACGTACATTTAATCACAATTGTTTAATGGTATTTGAGATTTCTTATTTAATCAGTAATGAGACTACCCGGCAATTAATGTTCACAGAATCACGCTGCCCTTACCAGCTCAGTGTTGATTTTAAACTAATCTTTCTGTTTTATATCCTCTCTCTATTTCTGCAGTTAATAAAGGTGCCATAATGAGTTGTATTAAAACATCAATTTCTTCTTTTTGTTGAACCTACAAGTTTATCAAGGGTTTTAATCAAGATACTGAGGTGATTCCTAGGAGCGTGGGTTTGGGGTATTAGGTATTGCTCAGATGGAGAAGGCACGTGGGAGATGCCTTGGCACGTGGCCCATCAGTTCCTACAGCTTTTTTGGTCTCTGCTGGAGGGGTCTGAAGACAAGGGCCATTTCATGGGTTGTTGTTGAGGATGTACAGACCCTCAGTGCAGAATGAACCAAATTTGGCTTAGTGCTCCCCGCTGCTGCCTTGAAAGTATGAGCAACTGTTAAAGCAGGACCCCACCTCCTTCTCATCTGGTACTGTTCCTGAGAATTCCGCTTTTCCTGTGTGAGGATGGGTTAGGATGGACCTCGGCTGAGGAGAAGGTGGTGCTTGAGTGGCTTCGCTGTGTCCTCCCTGGAGCTCTGGGCTGAAGAAGGCTCTGCGTGTGTGGAGCTAGGAGCAGCTGGGGAGACACACAGGTGAGACCTGACCCTTGCTTTCCCACGTGATCTTTGTCCCTGAAGAGCCCTCGTTCTTGCAGGCCTAAAGTCCAAACTGTAGGAATGCCACATGAAAGAAGACACCGGCGAAAGGGGTAGTCAAAGAAATTCTCTTTGGGGAGGAGAAAAGGCTTCTCGTGGGGGCTGGAGAGACATCTCAGAGGTTAAGATCACCTGCTAATCTTGCAGGGGACTGGAGTTTACCCACAATGGTGTCTTACAACTGCTTGTAACTTCAGTTCCAGGGCATCTGGTACCCTCCTCTGTTCTCTGCATGCACCCCCCACGCGCGTGCACACACACACACACATTCTTCCACAGTCTGTGTACGCACATAAATAAAAATAAAAAACCTTAACAACAATATTAGTTTGCCAAATCTTTATTTAAAATCCTCTTTTGAAAAGTTCTAACAATATCTGACCTTTGTTTTATTTTATTATTGTTTTTAACTATAAAGAGGGAGGCTTACTTTGGTTCATGCATTGGGAAGTCCAACACTGTGGGGCAACATCTGGGGAGGTTCTTGTTGGCTGAGTCCCAATACATTGCAAAGCAGGAGGCAGGAATTGTGATTGTGTGTGCATGTGTGTTGTTATTTCTTGCCCCCTTTCTCCCTCTCCCTTTCTCATAGTTTAAATGAGGAATATTCCCAAGAGGCTTATGGGTTTGAACACTTGGTCCCCAGTTGGTGGTGCCGTTTGAGGATTACATACATGGACTATTTGACAGGTATGTCCTGGTTGGAGGA